GAGAGAGAGAGAGAGAGAGAGAGAGAGAGAGAGAGAGAGAGAGAGAGAGAGAGAGAGAGAGAGAGAGAGAGAGAGAGAGAGAAAGAGAGGGAGAGTAGAGTAGAGTAGACTACCGTACGGTGATCTTACCAAAGAGTATCGTAGAGTAGAGCAAAGTAGCAAAAAAGACAGTAGAGTAGAGTAGAGTCGCGTAGAGTAGAGTAGAGTACAACATAGTATCGTAGAGGAGAGAATCGTACAGTAGAGTATCGTAGAAAAGAGTATCGTAGAGTGGAGCAAAGTAGCAAAACGTACAGTAGAGTAGAGTAGAGTACAACGGAGTATCGTACAGTAGAGTATCGTAGAAAAGAGTATCGTAGAGTAGAGTGTCGTAGAATACGGTATTGTATCATACAGAGTCGCATAATATCGTAGAGTAGAGTAACGTAGAATAGAATAAAGTACAATATCGTAGAGTAAAGTAGAATAGAGTAGAGTACATTAGAGAATAGTATCATAGAGTACAATAGAGTATGATATCGTGTTGTACCTTATCGTAGAGTAGAGTAGAGTAGAGTAGAGTAGAGTAGAGTAGAGTAGAGTAGAGTAGAGTTGAGTAGAGTTGAGTAGAGTAGAGTAGAGTAGAGTAGAGTATTAGAGAGCAGAGTAGACCATCAGAGGTGACATAGTGGAGTATTGTAGTCAGAGAGAGCAAAGTAGACCGTCAGAGGTAACATAGTGGAGTATTGTAGTCAGAGAGAGCAGAGTAGACCATCAAAGGTAACATAGTGGAGTATCGTAGAGTATATTATCGTCGAGTAGAGTATAGAAGAGTAGAGAAGAATGACTTAGGGTAAAGTAGAGTATTGTAGATTATAGTAGAGTATAGTAGAGTATGATACAGTAGAGTATAGTACCGTAGCCTTTTTAACTTAAGTAGAGTCGAGCAGAGGAGAGTAGAACACATTAGAGTAGAGCAGAGTAGAATAACTTAAAGTAGAGTATTATAGAGTAGATTATCGTAGAGCAGAGTATCGTAGAGTAGAGTATCGTTGACTAGAACACCGTTGAGTAATGTATCGTGGAGTAGAGTATCGTAGAGTAAAGTATCGTAAAGTGAATGTCGAAGAATAAACTATTGTCGCATACATATCCTGCCATTAACTATCATATCATAGAGTATCGCATTCTTGAGTAGAGTAGGGTATCGTACAATATATTATAGTAGAGTGGAGAATTGTAGAGTAAAATAAAATACCATATAATAGAGTTGTGTAGAGTAGAATAGAGTATCCTAAAGTATCATAGAGTAGAGTAGAGTATAGTATAGTAAAGTAGGGTAGAGTAGAATCGTACAATAGACTATAGTAGAGTAGAGAATTGTAGAGTAAAATAAAATACCGTATAATAGAGTTGCATAGAGTAAAATAAAGCATCCCAAAGTATCACAGAGTAGAGTAGAGTAGAGTAGAGTAGAGTAGAGTAGAGTAGGATCGAGTCAAGTCGGGTCGAGTCGAGTCGAGTCGAGGCGAGGCGAGGCGAGGCGAGGCGAGGAGAGGAGAGGAGAGGAGAGGAGAGGAGAGGAGAGTATTGTAGAGTAGAGTATCGTAGAGTAGAGTATTGTAGAGTAGAGTATTGTAGAGTAGAGTATCGTAGAGTAGAGTATTGTAGAGTACAGTATCGTAAAGTCGAGTATCGTGGAGTAGAGTATCATAGAGTAAAGTATCGTGGAGTAGAGTATTGTAGAGTAAGGCAGGGTTGCCGGCGTTCGGGACGGGCCGAACACCCTAACCCGAACGCCCGAACGTTTGGGACCCCCTCTCGACGCGTTCGGACGTTCGGCCGAACGCCAAAAAAAATAATAATGAAAAAAAAATTTCCAAAAATTCTGAAAAACAAAAATGTCATGCAGAAGAATAAACTAAACAACATTTGCCTCAACAGTACATCCAAATTACTTACCAAATTTGAACGAAAAATCAAGTACGAAAAATAAATAATATTAATGAAAATAAGAAAAAATAAAACGAGAATGAAATTATTGCGTGGGCGAGCAAGTTTTTGACACCATCATCTTTGGCGATTTTTCATTTTTTTTTGGCTTTGTCAAATGCCATGAAATTTTATACATATGTATCTTACATAATAGAGAACCTACAAATAAAGTTTGAAAAAATAATATTTTTTTTCAGGCCCCGAAATAAAGGGAAAACAAAAAGTGAAAAGAGAAAAAAAACAAATTAGTAAGTGGGAAAGCAAGTTTTGACACCATCATCTTTGCCGATTTTTCATTATTATTTACGTAGCACTGTGTTAGCATTCGGAGGTGAACGCGAACAAGCGCCCAAAACCCTCCGAACGTGAAAAAAAAAAAAAAACTTTCTCAGAAAAATCTGAAAAAAAATATATGTTATGTAAAACAGCAATACAAGCAACTTTTGCCTTGGAGTCATGTTCAAATTCGTAGCCGATCACGAGTTAAAAATCAAAAACCGAAAACATTTTTTTATTATTTTTATTTTTATTTTTATTTTACGACAAAAAAAAATCGCGAGCTGTTCGTGCGAACGCGCGAACACGTTCACACGAATGTGAAGGGGCACAAACACGTTCGCCGTGCTACGCAGGAATAAACTATTGTCGCATACATATCGTTCCATCAACTATCATACCATAGAGTATCGCATTCTCGAGTAGAGTAGAGAATCATAGAGCAGAGTATCGTACAATAGACCATAGTAGAGTAGAGAATTGTAGAGTAAAATAAAATACCGTATAATAGAGTTGCATAGAGTAGAATAGAGTATCCTAAAGTATCATAGAGTAGAGTAGAGTAGAGTATAGTAGAGTAGGGTAGAGTGGAGTCAGTCGAGTCGAGTAGAGTCGAGTAGAGTAGAGTAAAGTAGAGTAGAGGAGAGGAGAGGAGAATAGAGGAGAGTAGAGTAGAGTAGAGTGAGTAAATAAGAGTATCATACCATAGAGTACAATAAAGTACAAAAGAGTAGAGTAGAGTAGAGTACAATAGAGTAAAAATGAGTAGAGTAGAGTATACTAAAGCAAAGTAGAGTAGTGTAAAGTAACGTAGCGTAGAGCAGAGTGGAGTGGACTTGAGCGGGGTGAAGTGGAGTGGAGTAGGGTGGAGCGGAGGGGAGGGGAGTGGAGAGGAGCGGAGAGGAGTGGAGACGAGAGGAGCGGTGAGGACAGGAGTGGAGAGGAGTTGAGCGGAGAGGAGTGGAATGGAGTGGATTGGATTGGAGTGGAGTGGAGTGGAGCAGTGGAGTGTAGTGGAGTGGAGGCGAGTGGAGTGGAGGAGAGTAGAGTGGAGTGGAGTGGAGTGAAGTGGAGTGGAATGCAATGGAGTGGAGAGAAGCATAGGGAAGAGAAATGTAGGGAAGAGAATAGTACAAAAGAGGAGAGTAGAGAAGAGTAGGGAAGCATAGAGTGGAGTATAGTAGAGTAAAGTGGAATAGAGTGGAGTAACGTGGAGTGGAGGAGTGGAGAGAAGCATAGGGAAGAGAAATGTAGGGAAGAGAATAGTACAAAAGAGGAGAGTAGAGAAGAGTAGGGAAGCATAGAGTGGAGTATAGTAGAGTAAAGTGGAATAGAGTGGAGTAACGTGGAGTGGAGTAGAGTGGAGTGGAGTGGGGTAGATTGGAGTAGAGTAGAATGAAGTAGAGTGGAGTGGAGTGGAGTGGAGTAGAGTCGAGTGGAGTGGAGTCGAGTGGAGTCGAGTAGGGGTGGACTGGAGTGGACTAAAGTGGAGTGGAGTGGAGTGGAGGAGAGTGGAGGAGAGTGGATAGGACGAGAGTGGAGTAAAGTAGAGCAGAGTGGAGAAGTTTAAAGCAAAGTGGAGTAGAGCAGAGTAGAGTGGAGGATTGTAGAGTAGAGCAGAGCGGGGTAGAGTAGTGTAAAGCAGAGCAAAGTAGATCAGAGCAGAGCAGCAAAGCATACAATAGAGAAGCGTGGGGAAGACAAGTGTAGGGAACAGTAGAGTAGAGTACAGTAGAGCAGAGTACAGTAGAGTATAGTAGAGTAGAGTAGATTAGAGTAGAGTAAAGTAGGGAAGAGCAAAGTTGGGAATAACAAAGTAGGTAAGAGCAAAGTAGGGAAGCATAGAGTGGAGCAGAGTAGGGGTGGACTAGAGTACAGTGGAATGAAGTGGAGTAGAATGGAGTGGAGTGGGGAAGACTGAAGTAGAGTGGAATGAAGTAGAGTTGAATGGAGTGGAGTGGAGTGGGGTAGAGTAGAGTAGAGTAGAGTAGGGAAGAGCAAAGTAGGGAAGAGCCTAGTGGGGTAGAGAAGAGCAGGGAAGAGAAGACAAGAGTAGAGCAAATTGGACCAGAATGGAGTACAACAGAGTAGCGAAGAGGAGAAGAGTAGAGAAAAGTAAAGAAAAGTAGAGAAGCGTAGAGAAGAGGAGATAAGAGAAGAGTAGAGAAGAGTAGAGAGGAGTAGAGTAGAGCGGAGTAGAGAAGAGTTGAGTATAGTAGAGTAGAGCAGAGCAAAGTAGAGTAGAGTAGAGCAGAGTAGAGCAGTGTAGAGCAGAGCAGAGTAGTGTAAAAGAGAGCAGAGCAGAGAAGAGCAAAGTAGAGAAGGGCACTGAGGGCAGAGCAAGGAGGCGTAGAGTAGAAAAGCATAGGGAAAAGAAGCGTAAGGACGAGAAGAGTACAAAAGAGTAGAGTTGAGAAGAGTAGGAAAGCATAGAGCATTCTAGAGTAAAGTATAATAAAGTAGAGTAGAGTAGACTCGGTAGAGTAGAGTAGTGCAAATTAAAGCACAAACGGGTAGAGTACCATAGCGTAGAGTATGTTAGAGTTGAGTGTCCTAGAGTACAAAAGCGTGGAGTAGAGTATTGTGTCATAGAGACTTATGGACTAAATCTTGGACCCAAGGCTGGGGTTGGGTCTTTCGGGAAAAAAAACTAACAAAAAAGGTATGGGGCCTAAATCTTGAGCTTGGGCCTTGGCCTGTGTCCCGGGCCTGAATCTTGCCTAGGGACTGGGCCTGTGCATTTCCAATAAAAAAAGAAACTTGCGTCTTAGCGCCTGGGTCTGGGCCTTGCACTTGAATCCAATCTGCACCCGGGCCTAGGCCTCGGGATTTCCAAGAAAAAAAAAAAAAAAAAAAAAAAAACTTGGCCTGGACCTAGAGGTTTCCAAGAAGTTAAAAGGGCACTGGGTCTGGCTGGATGGGCCGACGGTACCAAGAATGGTCTGGATTGGTCCAATTGATATCAGAGTCTTGGAACTGTTGGGACCTTGGGGGGGGTTCTTTCATTATTTATTTATTTATTTTTCCAGGTGGTACTCTAGTTGTTTCTTTACTCAATCGCTTCGTACTTGATTGTTCTCTCTATATTTAATTTCCCACGGAACATTTGGAGTCACCTCTGTCGTAACTTGACCCTTGACGATTCCAGGTATGGCCAGCGGATAAAACTATAGTAAGGTCTACTCCAGTGCTCGACATGGTTTTTACGACTACGGGCACAACGCCCGTTTTGGTTCGAGCTTTATGGCTTCGTTTCCATTGCTTAATCATTAAACCACCAGTAATTGGCCCAACTATATTCTGCGGGAAAAATAGAGAACAAATGTTTCAAGGCTGATGGATTTTGGCGCTCCTGTAGTGGCCGATACATTTCCCGAATCTTGGCCCGTTTATGGGCACGACTTTATGAAGCACAGGTGGTTCAAGCCAACAATCGTGTTTCGGGGGTATCCATGTGTCAATGCTTGATTGTTTTTGTATTGATGTCATGATGTACATTGTCTGATCCTATGATTCTCTGGCCGTGTGGTCTTCAGAATGGTTGTTCTTTATCCCACTCTTACCTATGTGTATGTTATTCAATTGCTCGACAATTTGGTAAATGCTTGACACTATCTTGCACAAGGCTATTGCAACCATCCTCAGAAAACGGAGACTCTATTTTTAGAAACAAAAAGAGGCATCGGCCTGTGCATTCCTGAAAAAAAAAAAAAAAAGGTTAAGGCCTAAAACGGGGCCTTGTGCCTGAATCTTGGACTTCGGGCCGGCATCGAGGTTTCCAAAAAGTCGATAAAAAAGGGGAATTGGCCTGAATCCTGGACCTGGGGCTAGGCTTGGGTATGTGTCTGCGGGGCTCGTTCGACACTCCTCAGGCCGTCCTCGGGGCCCGAGTGCTGTGCATGTGTCACTCACAAGATATGGCTTGTAGACTCTGTTCACACAGGCTTCCTCTGCTAATACCAGGTAAGACTCGCTGGTTCCCACTGTTTCCATTCCCTTCCTGACCACTTCCACACTCCAGCCATAGTTGGCACCACCCCAGCAGCCACCGCAGCTGCCTTCTTCCTTGCAGGTGCATGGAGGGCGAGCCTGGGCCTTTTTTGGATTTTCTTTTTTTGGTTATTTTGAATTTTTGAACTTCATCTATGTCCATGCTTGCAATTTCGTCTGCCTAACGTGTGTCTATGCTTGTGATTTTCTTGCTGTACACTTCATCTCGTCGTGTTGTTGTTGTTCATTCATTGCCTTTTTTTTTTTTTGAAGGGTCAAGCAAACAAATGGATAAAGAACATGGAGAGCGAGCACGGGCTAATGACGACAAAACAAACGGATCCTGATTTTATGAGGCGGCTGGAGACTGCAGTTCAGGTAATAATAATAAATGTAATAATAATAATAATAATAATAATAATAATAATAATAATAATAATAATCCTACCCCTTAAGCAGCATTGGCCGCGGGGGGGAGGTTGATGGTCCGCTGCGCGCCAGAATCGGGTCGAAGTTTCGGTGCAGGCCGGTGGATGAAGGCGATCGAGGGCGGGTGGGCGTGCAGAGTGGCGCGCGTACCGAATTGTTCACAGCGCGCCACTAAACGAGAGAGAGCGCCCACGGGGCCGGGTACACGACGGACGTCGATGCGGATGAATATCTCGACGCGCCCGCCGTCGGATAGCATTTCCGTGTCGGTTTGTGTCCGGCCCCCTTTTTATTTTTTGTTTTTGTGTTTCGTATTCTAAAAAAAAAAAGAATTTGTCGTTTTGTTTCGTATTGTTGTTTTTTATTTATTTTATTTACCTTTTATATATATATATTTTTTATATTTTTCGTTCTGGCGTGTGGTTTTATTTCCTTTTTTTGCCTTTTGTTTTCGTTTTGTTTTCGGAAAAAAAAAAGGCTTTCCGTTTTTTTCCCCCCATGAATTTGCATTTTTTTTGTGTCAGTCCGAAAAAAACAAACAAAAAAAAGACAAAAGAAAAAACAAAAGACAAAAAAGACATATTTTTTTTCCATTTTTTTGGGGTCGGAACGAACTTTCTGCTAGAACACGGCCAGATGCAGGCACACCAGTGTTTGGTGCTCAATCCGCGGTGTGTGCGGTCTGTGGGCATCGCCACACCACTGTCGAAATGTGAGAAAACGTGTCGGGCACATCTGCCATTTTCTAGCGGGAAGTTCATTCTTATTTTGAACATTTTGGGTGTGGTGTGGCAATGCCCTCTTTATGTCTCTCTCTCTCTCTCTCCCACACAGACACACACACAAATGGGACGAAGTTTGCCTGTCCGTCTGTGTGTGTGCGTGTGTGTAAGAGAGAGAGAGAGAGCAAGAGTTTGTGTGTGTCTGTGCGCGTGCGTGGGTGTGACAGAGAGTGTGCGGGCAAGAGTCTGTGTGTGTGGGCGTGGGTGTGTGGCAGAGGGAGAGTGCGGTCAAGACTCTGCCATCGCCAGTGGCAAAAGCCGAGACAAGGGTGCGCCGTGTAGCTATGGCGCGCATGTCTTGAAAAGAAAAAAAAAGGGGATAAAAAAAGGAAAACAAAGGAGGAAACTTGCCTTTGTCTCTCTCTCCCTCGTTTCCTCCTCTTTTTTTGTCTCTCTCTCTCTCTCTCTCTCTCTCTCTCTCCCCCCCCCTGTCTCTCTGTCTGTGTACCAGATACTGACGTGCGCAAAGGTGGCGCCTCAATGCAGGTACGGGAGATGCTCTCTCTGTGTGTGTCTGTGTGTGTGTGTGTGTGTGTGTGTGTGTGTGTGTGTGTGTGTGTGTGTGTACCAGATACTGACCTGCACAAAGGTTGTGCTTCGATGCAGGTATGGGAGATGCTCTCTCTCTGTGTGTGTGTGTGTGTGTACCAGATACTGACCTGCGCAAAGGTTGCGCCTCGATG